CCCGGCCCGGAGAGAAGAACTGCTTCTGAGCGCTGCTGCCCCTTTGCGGTACATCCCCCCCCCCAATACACACAGGGGTGCAGGCAAGCATCCCGTGCTCCCACTCACTGCGGCTGGGGACCCTCCGGTGAACACAGATTACCGTCAGCCACAGTCTGCAGCCATCATCCGGAGGCTGACTTTAACTCCTAGGACAGCACTGGCACTTTTTTTTATTCCCCCCAAAAATCAGAGTTACTCTGACACAGCTCAGTGTTCACGGGCTGTTTTGCAGGGAGCATCCGTTTTCTGTTTTACAGGTATCCTTGTGTGCCTTGAGGTGACAGCATCTGCAGTGCACAAGGGACTTCAGAAACGCCAAATTCCAGCTGCAGCAGAGGTGTGTTGGGGAGGCCAAGGTAGGTGAGGAAGGTCGTGGGTGATCCCCATCACTCAGAGGACAGAGAAAAGCTCTTCCCTGGCAGACACCTGACAGCCATGAATTACAGCCAAGGACAGGGAATTTTTCAGTGGTTTTGTGACTTCTCTGAGACACAGGTTTGGGTGACGTGGCCACATCCTTTGTGTTTGTCCCTGTGGTGCCGGTCAGGTGACTCAGTGTAGCAGTCCCTGGTCCCCAAGGAATCGCATTTCCAGGGGAAAACCCTAAGCTTTGGGACTTAGTTCCTTCAGAACTTCAGGGCTTCAAAAGAGGCGAGGCTGGCTGGCCAGCAGGATGCCAGCTCCTCCTCTCTCGCAAGGTTTGGGGGGTGAGTGTGGTGTTACTAGGGTGTTTTTTTTATAATGTGTATGTCTCAGGAGGAGGGATGAATTAATCAAAGAATGCACAATCATAAGAGGTGGAAAACTTGTAGAAGGTACCAGAACATTACAGGTGGTTTTGTACATGCGAACCCTCACCATTAATGCAAAACGGGCTCTGTGTACGAAAGAAAGCAGCCAAACGTGCACGTGAGGTGTACTTCTACACTCATTTAGCATGGGTGATCAGGCATGTGAGCTGCTGGGCCTTGACACTATGGGGAAGAGCAGCCCATGAGCTAGCACTTGTTCTGCCTCCACGGAAACAGGACGTTTATCTGCATTAGTCCCCATCTCAGACTCCAGGCTCCTGCATAGACACTGTAAAGTGTGACAATATTAATGTAGGCTGCTGAGTGTTTGACACATTCCTCCTGCACTAGTGTTACCTCTGTAAAGGATGAAAAATTTCAAAGAACTAGAAAATAATACACCTTGCTCACAAACGAACTACAGGGATGGCAAGCATGGTCAGCAAAAGTGCTTTAATTCTTGCATACAAAACCATTAATCTCTTAAATGATAGGAGATACAAACAATGAAAAATAAAATATATCAAAGGAAGGACACGTTCCCTGGGACCTGTAATCCTCCAAGGACCCAAAGGACAGCTAATGGCATGTCCCAAGATCTAAGGCACTGTGGTGAGAACTGTCTGTGAGCAGAGGCCACCAGTTAAGGGCCGTGGAAAAGAACGATCCGGATGGCAGAGCCTGGTCCTCTCCTCAGGGTGATGCTGCAGGCATGTCGTTGGTTTCACGTGCTGCCGGTGCGCTCCACTCTCTGGTACTGGGTGTGTGCGCAGCTCACTCCTCTTCTGCATCTCTGCTTAAATGTGTTTCCTTCCCACACCCTGCTGGGCAATGGTAAAGGTCAGCTGCAGCTCACAGGGAACCCGGAGCTAGGCAGGGGTTTACAGCCATCGCCCATCCCAGCCACCCCCCATGGGGTGTGTGCTCCCTCCCCTTGGCATTGTGGCCACACAACCTCCCTCTGCCCCAGGGATGCTTGCCCTGCTGCCTCCTTCACACCCAGAGCTGCACAACCAGCTCTTGATCTTCCCCAGCCCATCACAGGCTTTGCAGGGAAATTACCAGGTGAGAGGCTGTGGCATGTGTTACACCAAGAGATGCCTCTGCCCAGAGGAGAAGGATCAGTCCAGGATTACTTTAAGATAGAGATATTGTCAGCAGCACTGACTAGACTTTGCAACAGCCCTGAGCTGCCCAGTGCCGTAGACCTCAGGGACTGCTGGTGGGAAGCACCCAGAGCCAGCACATCCAACAGCCCACGTACCGTTTCCTGGAGAACTGCTGGTCTATCTCCTCTAAGGACTGTCCTTTCGTTTCCGGAACAAAAAGGTAAATGAATATAACAGCCATCACTCCCATCAGTCCATAGAGAAGAAACATCCAGGAGAAACCGATGGCATCTGCAGAGAGATTCAAGGGCATGAAGGGTCCGTTGGAGGCAGGTCACATCGTGAGATACAAAGGAAGCTGGTTGCTTACTGCGAGTGGTCACTGGTGCCTGACAGGGGTAGCTGGTCTTGAGAAGCGCTCAAAAGGGCAGGAAAGCTCTTTATCTGTAAGGCCTGGACTGGGTATCAGGAAGGGCCAAGGATGGTTCACACCAGCCTTTGCCAGCAGCACCACAGAGAGAAGGCAGCCAAGCTCCAGAGCCCAGTAAAGCCCACAGAGTGCCTCAGTCAAGAGCTCTGCCAGCAAGAAATGTCATAAATGCTGCCAGTGTGGAGCTGCAAACTTCATGCTTTCCTCATCCTGCTGTATTACAGTGCAGCCCAGCAGGCAATGGATCATTATGATGAAATGAGTGCTTCAGGGGTCCAGAGCAGTGCTGCTGGTGCCTGTTTTTTTTCTGCTCTCAGAGGCATCAGAGTCACACCTACTCCAGCATCCCCAGGGTTCAGAATGCCACTTCATCTCCCAATGGCTTGTGGTGGCCACCTTCCCTAACCCGCTGTGGGAGTTGGAGGGAGAAGGGATGGCACTTACCAATGAGGTCCAGGAAGGAGAGGCTGATCAGTAAATTGGCAGCCCAGTTAAAGCTGTTACAGAAGGCAAAGGCTCTTCCTCTTATCCCAGCAGGATAGATCTCGCTGAGGACCAGCCAGGTCACTGCAGGGATTAGAGAAATCAGAAAGACCATTGTAGGGGTTAAGCAATTTATCTGGGAAATGGGCAAGATTTCAGCAGGGGTTTTAAACTTTGGCTTCACCCAGGACCCGCTGCTGGTGGTGTCAAACACTCATCGATCTCAGTGTCAGGTCCCAGCAGAACACTTCAAAACCCCCACGTTGAGCACTCCACAGAGGAATGAAATACCAATGGATGGGTCCAGGGAGCAAAGAAGGAAGCAGGGGAGTTGGTCATTCCATTCAGGGGAGATGGAAAAGATCTGGCATACCTGCTGTCAGGATGTGCTCTTTGTAAAGAAACGAGAAAGGGGTAGGATTAGGGAGACAATGGTGCGTTTGGGCTAAAATCAGACCTAAAGCAATATATATCTTAAAGTAGTCTCTCCTATCCCAGGGTTATTTCCCTTGAAGTAACTTGCAGAGTCACTATCAAACGTACTTGCTGTGCACTTCTGGTTTTCTTTGACTTAGGTGCTGTTTTCTCCCATCAAAGCATTTAAAGCAATAAATGCCAGAAAACACCAGAGCTCACATGGAAGCACAAACTAATCTCTACTCTCATCTGATGAACAATTTCAGAAAAAGACCAACTGATATTGAGAAACTTCCAGTGAGGCTCCACATCCAGTTCTGCCGCTGACTTTCTTCATCACACAGGAGAAGCCCATCAGTCCCTTTGTCCTCAGCCCTCTCTTTCTCTCTTCACCAGGGTGCTAGGATGATTAGGTAGTGCTTGTGGGATGCTCTGATTTTGCAATGAGCTTGACAGAAAAGAAAAATATTACAAAGGTAGTGACAGCATGGAAGAGGAAGTTATCCTAGTGCTGTACCAGCCCTGTAGCTGACAGAGCTGCAATGCTAGAAAATTATTCAGTGGGCTGAATGGGATGAATTTCCAATTCCCAAACACTGAGCTGCTTGGTAAACCAGGTACATAATGAACATTTCAAGCAGACTATAAAGATCAGCCTGAGTTTTATTCCCTGGATTAGTGCAAGGATATACAAACACCATACTTACTTGGTCCAAATCCAATCGAGAAGGCACTCACAAAAGCCATCATGCTCAGCAGCGTAATCCAATTTAAAACCATATGTTTTGCCCAGGGAGCACCACTGAAAGGAGGGACGGTGCTTCCCACTGTCTCTTCTTTGGTCTGACCTCCCAAGCCCCTTTTCTGAGTGAGGGAAGAATCAGGAACAACCTTTCTGCTTTCAGCACCGGCAAAAGCTTTTGTAAGGCTCCTCGTAGCAGCAAACCCAGCACCTGCTGGTAACGCCGGCAGGATGGGTGACACTGCAGCCTGGGAGGATACAGGCATCAGGGGGTGCTGGGTAAGGCTGTGGGATGCATTGGGGTCTGCAGCTGCCGTGCAGTCCCTGGCCATGGCGAGTGGAGAGACACGGCTGGTGAGGCCGATGGTGGTGACGGAGATGGCCATCACCACGCAGCCGGCCATGAGAAGCGCTCTCCTGCCAGCCTTGTCCGCAAAAGCCATCGCAATGAGCGTGGCCACCACCTTCATCACCCCCAGCCCAACAGAGGCCAGGATCGCCGAGGAGTTGCTCTGGAACCCCACCGAGTGGAAGATTTTGGAGGCGTAGCCCAGCACGTTCGGCTGCCCAGTGAACTGCTGGAAGAGCACCAGTCCCAGGCCCACCAGAGTCCGCCTTCTCATGTTGTCTCTGGTCCTGAAAAGGTCAAGAAATGAGTAATGCTTCTCCTTATAGGGCTCCCGCTTTGCTGCTGCTCTGTCCTCAGTGTCCTGCAATTGAATGAGGCCCTTCTGGCAGTCCGAGTCCCAGGAGTTTAACCTAACAGGGTTCACTGGGAGAAAGAGGATGCTGAGAAACTGCATGGCTGTCGGGGCAATGGCCAGTCCAAACATGTACCTCCAGCCCTCATCCACATCCGCAAAGACGTAATTCAGCGCATAGGACAGTAGGATACCTACGGTGATGCCCGCTTCGTAGAGAGACACCAGCAGCCCTCGCTGATGAGCACCCACCATTTCTGAGACATAGATGCAGCAGGCCATGGATGAAACAGAGATGGCAAAGCCCACAGTCACACGCCCAATGACCAGCCCGATAAATGACCTTGCCAACGTGAGAATAAGGCTGCCAACCAGCAGGACCAGGTTGCTGACCAGGATTGCTCTCCTCCGTCCATGGCGGTCAATGAGGATCCCCCCAACCAGCGAGGCGAGGAGAGCTCCAATAAGGAGGGCGCTCACGAGAATTTCTTGCTTGAAGCAGCTGAGGTGAAAATCTATCTGCAACTGCAGCAGTGCACCAGAGATAATCCCCAGCTCATATCCAAATATCAGCCCACCCAGGAGAGAGACTGTCGCAGACAAGAGGAGGACCAGTAGTGCACGACCTGGAAAACAAGCAAGCAACGCTAGGTTCAGTTTCCTGGCACTAGCAGGCAAGTTATCAGCATGCACAAGCTGGAAAAATCTCTCCCAGGACACCCAAAGTTTTCCATCTGCAAAGCCACGATGCTGAATTTCCCCAAAAGGCACTAGGTCACGTGCAGAGGTACTTGCAGATATCCACACAACCTACCAGGCCTGCACACCCCCTGACTGCAGGGGTACTCCTTTGGGGTGCAGAACTGTGAAAACAGGACTTTGGTAAGAAAGTTAAGACCTGTATTTAAGTGAAGGACCCTGATTTGTAGCGTCCAGTTGTATGGGGGATCCTCCACCGTCTCCCTTGTTTCTAATTGCAAAACACAGCTTCTGCTTTCTGGTTGTGAATTGTTCCACATTATCATTTTCATGTTTCAGCGCATGTGGCACCATCAGCTCTCACTGCAGGCTCTGCATTCTCACTCCCTACTTTGTCTTTAAGACAAGGCTCACAAAAGTTGCCTTGTGCTCACATGCACTCTCAGCATGACTTCGTGGGGGTGACCCCGATTTCTTCACCTCTCCTTCTACAGCACACAGCACCCAGGATCCCTGAGCCAGGCACAACCTTCTCAGGCTGGTCAAGGACCACAGGACAAACACCATCATGAGCTGAGCAGCTCACTGTTGCCTGCCCCAAATAAAAGAAGCGATTCTTTGACCTTGCCCTTCCCACACAGCTGAGCATGCAAGTTTCATAAGTATGTAAGTTTAGCTAAAATAAGAAAAAAACAATGGCAAAAGCAAACCAAACCCAAACCAACCTGCCCCAAACAACCCTAAAAAAACCAAGCGTGCTGCACATGCTTCTCACCCTGGGGAGAGGATGAAAGGGTGACCGTGTGTGAACTATTAGTCATGTTACAGCAGGGGGGACTGCACACAGTGTGAGAGCCAGCGCTGATGTGGGGACCTCTGGGAACAGCAGGAACAGTGACCCCCCCCCAGTTACAATTTTGAAGGCACAGGTAAAGTGTGTTAGCTTAGAGGTTTATGCTGGTTTCCAGCTATCTGTATTCTCACATTGGCTTTTTAAAATTAGAAATACTAACAGTTTTGGTAGACTGTATATGGAAAAAAATGTGGACACAACCATCAGACCATGGAAAACTTTCCTCACTCTGCCTAAGGGTTTTTTTCCCCCATCAGCCGTGTTTAATAGGAAGTGTCCCTATTTGGCCTTTAATTGCAGCTAGCAATAAAGGTTATTTCTCAGTAATGGCTATATTTATATTTGTATTTATTCTGTAACACTCTGCATTTAATTTGCGCTACTTACACCATCCCAGCTACATCAGTCCCTCGCACCATGCTCTGTATGACTACCTGCACAGCCCTTATCACTCCTTGTACACATGTTACGCAGATAATTAGAAAAAATATTTGCTCACTGAGAACAAAAGGTTTTGCATAAAGTGGGCATGCCATTGGTTTCCAGCCACAAATTCAGCTAGATACAGACAGCCCTGCTGCAAATGCCACAGCAGATTCCATCAGATTTTGCTGTATTCTTTGTTAACTTAATGAGCAGTAATAGTTTATACCCTTTGATTGAAATCCACCTTTGTATATAGTCGATTTTGATGTAGTTGGAGAACTTGAGGACTCTTCAGATCTTCATGAGGACAGAAAGTTTGGTGGGTCTCCCAAGGAGCTGTGCCAGGCGATACCCTGCCTATGCTCGGAGGTCCATGCTCCAGGACTGGGCAGCAACCAGTGCTGCTGACCTGGCTGGGACCGGGCTGACTTTTGAACTGCTGGAGTCACATCAATGTCAAC